CCCCAAAACCCCAAAACCCCACAAAGACAGATATTGTTTTATTGGTAAATTAGTAGATAAAATAAATGTTTTTCTTCTTGTTAAAATCTACCTTCGCATATATTTCTAAGTAATTGAGTAAGTTTCAAAACTCCTAGATGAACTTATGATTTTTCTAAATTGAGTAAAATCAAAAGCTATTGAATTAAGGCCACCCAAATATGGTTGAATCTTGCATATCTCTCCTCCATGTTTAAGTCTGTATATCTTTTCCAATGAACTCAATTTTTAATTCCTTTTGTTCTCCTTTTTCATCAATTATTTATATTGTCTAATGATTAAAGATGCCACTGTATTCTTTATTTACAATTATATCTTGGTTTCCTGACTGGTTAATGAAATTCATAGCTGCAAGACTTATGATTGGGGGACCCGTACCAAAGATAGTTGACGCTGTGGTTCTAAAAGAGCAGCTATTTAAAAATAAGGGTCTTTCTTTCTCTTCATCTTCAAATTTAAATACATCCATCATTAAAGTGAAGTAATTTTAAATGATTGGGTGATCTTATTTAGCAGCGAAAAATGCATTGTTAATACCTCTTAACGTAGGTGTCACCCCCATTTAAACACCTAAAAAATCAAAATAATAGTTGATATTATAATCCCAACTTTCAAAATAATAATCATTATCAAGATAAACTCCTCCATTTTCTTTGACTATAATTCCTCGGATAAAATCACTAGCAGCCCCAATCATTCGTAAATCCTCTAAATAGTAGGAAAATTGCTTTTAAACTCTTTAAATCTTCATCTCTTTAAGTTCACTAAGCAGTTTAATTCTAAAACCCATTTATTCAAAAAGTTGAATTGTTTGAGGGATCAAGTTTTGTTCCTAAACCCACAGATAATGATTCCATTTTTAATTGTGCTATTTAGCTGAAATGTCAAACTGTTTCTAAGTAGATTATATTTGACTAATTATTTCTGGAAGAACTTATTACATTTCTTTTGGATCATAAGGATCTGTCAACCAGATTCTATGAGTGATAAAAGGAATTCGTGGAGTGTCATTCTTTGAGTAAATGATCTCTTTCTGATACTTAGAAGTATCGCTATTCTTCATAATGATTTAGTTATACTCTCTAATAGTAATATTTGTGATATTTTTTCTCTTCATCATCAACCTATTAACATCCCTACTAAATAATTCTGTATTTGCATAGAAAATGCTTTTAGGGTAATAGCAAAAGTCAAGAACATTTGCTGTAATCATTTAAAATTTTTCAATAAAAGGTAGCTTGCTTGCCACATAAATATGTTTAAACAAATATCCACGAGTCCCTTCGCTCAAAAATAAGATTTAAATGCTGACTAGTGCGAATAATGATACTATTAATGACTGAAATTTCTTTTATTTTAGCCCGATTCTAAATAGTAAAAATCTAAGAATTACTTTAACATGGAAAATCTAAAGATATTTTGGGGTTTATTTATTCTTTTGTTAAAACCTATATTTATAATATTTCATGAATAAACAGGCAAGTAAGCTGAAATATAAAACTTTGCATTAATTTATATAATTTTCAACTCAATAACAGAGACACGGGGTTTTGGGGTTTTGGGGTTTTG